AATAATATATTCCCGCTGGGTAAGTTATAGTAAAGGACCGAAAATCGAAAATGAAAAATTTTTATATATCTTTGAGAGAACGGAACATCCGATTCAACAAATATTCAATTCGTAATGATGGGGAAATGTGGTGATTAGTTTTTGGCAAAGGCAGATCTAGCCGTTTTGGAGACATCGTGCAAAATGTGTAAAAATGACAGTTTTTGAAAGAACTAAGCATCCTATTTGAATGATTCAAGAAACTTTCTGCTTGTGTTGACGAAATATTAACTTTTGGGGAAACATTTTTTTTAATAAAAAAAAATAATTCGGATTTTAATTCTAATTCTAACTGGAGTTCTAAACATTACTTAAGTAAAATATTCGAGGAATATCAAATGTTTTCAATAGATTATATAATTATATAATCTATTGAAAACATTTAATATTCCTCGAATATTTATTAAGATACGGAAAGTTCTAGCAATTTGCCTTAAGCACGATGCCATGCACCACTACTTTTTAAGTATTATACTTTACCCTCTCGGAACTGGTACAAAGTTTTCGCCTCCGGCTGCAACGTAATGTCTTCCTGGCACGATTTGTAGAAAAGAATGAATTCTCATTCCTGATGAAAAATTTTATGAAAAATGTTTAATTAAGATACAGGGCACGATCGATCTTTATGAAAATACGATTTCTCATTGATATCTTTCGAACAGAACAAATTTGGATGGATCTTTTTAAAGAAATGCTTTAGCCGATCGTCGCACAGGAATTAAAAATTTTCGATGCACACATACTTTTGCTTCGTAAAGTTGATAAAAAACATGTTTCTTTATAAATATTTCTCACCAGTTTCTGCTTCAAAAAGTGCTCTCGTTTGTCCAAAATGCGGTTTCAATTTATCGGTAATCTGCTGCAGCAGGTCACTCCATTTCGCAATATCCGAACTTATTATAAAATGTTGTCCAATCGTTTTTTCACCATTCACAAAAACAACTATGGGAGTCAAACCCGTTCGTGCGATACTGTACTCGCACATCTTAAGGAATATGAAGCCAAAAAACCGTTGAAATTTGAATTTAGAACTTATAAATATACATCCTATAATAAAATTTATATTTTGATATGCGTAGTTAACATTCTGAAGTATTTTAACAATATGGCACTGATGAAATTTTGAAATTATTTATGGATATATCATAATTATCTTATTATTTTTGGTTCCAACTGACAATTCTGCTCAAATTTCTTAAATCTGCTTCGGAGTTTCTTTCATCAATTTACGCAATTTTTTGTAATTTGATGGAAAAATCAAAGAAATTAACTGTAAATTTTGAATAATTATATGTGTATTAAATAAACGTCTAACTTCACTCAATTTTGATTACTAATTTTGAAAAAATGAAAAACGCTTTTTGGATTATTGTTGTCATTGGGAAATTTTGTATTCTTTATAATTTTTTATATTAATACATTAATATAGCTGTAGCTATATTATGTGCAATTTTTTTTAACTATGTGTAAGTAGAATGAGGCACGTTGCAAACATTTTCCGATATATGTAAATAATCAATTTAATTAATAAGAAATAAGTTTAATTAATAAGTCAAATTTGTTTTAGCCAAAGGCAAAATGCCACTTACACCTAGTTACATTTTTCGTCTTAAAAAGAACCTGAAATAATATAATAAATATCTATTTCAAAAATATAGGGTGGAAATATTTTCGTTTCTTATCAATTTTTTAACAATTTTTTGTCGACGATTTCGAGAACACGGATCAACCGATTTGAATAATTCAAAAAACGTTCGATTCGAATTGATAAGGAGACGTGCTGATTAGTTTTTGGCAAAGGCAGGTCTATCCGTTTTGGAGATACGGGATAAAAAAAGACAAAAATTGTAATTGAGTTGAGCGTTTGATTCATATCCTTCAAAAAAAACTAAATTAAAAAAAATTATCAGAATAAAAAAAATCGTTTTCATATTAAAATCGATCAAATATTTAAAAAAAAAATCAAATTCTCAAACAATTAAAAAAAACGATTTTTTCCAAAAATACAAAAAAAAATGAATAAATTTCTTGAAATAAGTTGTTTGTAGAAGAAATTATTTTAAACAATTATTGATAACTTTCGTTTCTCGAATGTTTAATTGCGGTACGGGAAGTTCCAGCAATTTGCCTTAAGGCACGATGCCACGAGATTTTTTAATAATGATTATTGCAACAAATTTGTTTAAATAATATTTCTATGAAGTAATCATTAAACTTGTTAGTTTAAATTGTTTTTTAAATATATATTAGAAACATGTACACTCAACAAATGTGCATGAGATAAGGTTTTGTTTTTTGGGTTATAAAATTAAACTCACTATACAATTTATAATAAAAATAATTTATTTAAAATTTTCTACAATCATTCACAATTATCAGTAACTTCAGCTTTTTTTGGTGACTCGATTTCTATCGTGACTGGTCCATCATTTTGTATATTCACCTCCATATATTCACCAAAAATTCCATCTGAAAAGATAAATCACATATTCAATCACAAGTACAAGTATATCAAGTTACATAAGTAAAATTTAATTGCCTCATTTTAATAACCTTTTATCTTATCGCTTTCATATGCAGTTTTCATTTCAGCTAGAAAATCGTTATACAATTGCTGAGATTTTGTGGCAGGCATAGAATGGTGAAAATCTGGTTTTTTTTTTTGATAGTTGCATATAACGTGAATTGACTCACACAAAGTACTTCATAGTCTTTTTGCTTAACGTTTTGGGACCATCGAACACCATTCTCATTTTCGAATAAACGAACATTTAGTATTTTTTGGACTCTGAAATAATAAAATATATTCAAACCGTTAATATTTGCTCATACTAATTTATTTAAATTTTATGTTTATATTCTATTAGAAAATTACTCACAGATATTTCATATCACTAACGGTATCATCAGCAGAAATGCCTATAAGAACACATAATCCTTTGCCGATAGAGCTGATGAGTTCTCCTTTAACTTCGAATATAAATTTATTTTAAAAAAATATCAATAAGTAAATGATATTTTACAGTAATAACTTAACAAAGTTTTCAATCAATATGAAATGAAAATTAATATTAACAAAATAGCAATAAATTTCAAACAAATCTTAATAATTTTGTTATCCAACCAGCAAACTAAATTAACAATCGACAAAAAAATATGTTAGTTATTTAACACTCGTATCAATGATTTATATTTATTGTTAGTATATTTTTATAACTATTGACGTTTTTTTATTTTATATAAAAGCATTGATACAAAAATGTAATACACATCGTTTTAGTACTTGTACAACCTATAAGTAGCCCCTCTGTCATTTTTTAAAGGCTTTTATAATTTATGTAACAAAATCAATGTAATTATAATACAATAACAATTTCAAATATTAAAAATCATAGTCACATATATTTACTTTATTGTGCCATTTTGAACGTAATTAAAGTAATTTTACATATTAAAGCAATATAGATATTTTGTTAAAATCAACTACAAACACTTAACAATATTCTTCATATAACAATTCAAACTATTCATGTGCACAAAAAAGCAATCTATGGAACATTTTCTTTCGCTGAAAGTCTATTGCATAATTCCAAATGTGCAAATGCAGATCTTTTGTTGTTTCTAGTTTTTTTAAATGATATAGAATAAAAGATTGAGAAGTAAGTAATCTACAAACAAAAGAAAATCTATAGACTGATTTTTTCAGATTAATATAATGTAATCTTAATTAAAACAAAGGGAACACGAAAGCAATTTTTGTATCGTATTGTAAAATAATTGTATTTTTAAGTTCTCTTGGATGAAATCTGTGGGCCATATATTGAAAAAATAAATAATGAATAATATGAAGAATCTACCTTTTACATTAGCTCCATTAACTCGTTGAATTAGAGCTTTCATTTTTATATATTTATTTTTACTAACAAAACTATTTTTTTCTTTTATAGTTTTGAGGTAAAACTTAATTAATTAATAATTAAAACAGAATTTTAGAACTGTATATTAATTAAGTATGGTTTATATACACATTTATATTTATTTTTATTATAAATAAAAATTATTCATCCACCACGCTTAATTTTAGGTTATGTTCTTTACATTTGACAGCTGTCAAAATACTTCGTCACGTGGTCGATCTGTCATTAGGTAATTTACAGTGATGTCTTTAAATAGTTAACTAATAGTTAAATAACGATGAATGTCATTAATTATTATTAAAAATATACTTATTTATTTATCTAATAATGCAAATAACTAATCTCTTTTTCTACCATGAATGCCATAATAGCGCTCTGCAATTTTTGCGAAGTGCATGGACCAAGTGTGATATTTTGCACACAAATTACTCATGACACAGCTGATATACCAGTTAATCCAAAAGAAGATGTGGCTTGCAAGTCCTGTCTGTCTCTGGGGCCCTATGTGGCCATGCTATCGAAGGATGATAAGGAGACAAATTTATATTAGCACACAAAATGCCATTATCGAAGAGAATGCTACTTTGTTGAAACATGCTTGTGTTAGGAGCTTGAGCTGTGAGGTAAAATAGTAATAGATATATTTCAATAATTATACACACAAGATATACAATATTTTAATAATATTTCTATTTTGATTATTTTTTTACAGGTAAGCCCAGATAAAGATGGTGGTTTAATTTATTTTGGTGATTCTACTAATGGCCATGTTCTCAGCTTCACGTTTCAACTGGCTGATGCTTATTCAAGAGGTTTTCGGAGATGGTTTTCTTTAATAGTATTGATGAAAGATCGTATGTTTTTACTAAATCTCAGTCCTTTTCTATCAGAGCATCTGAAGGTATTGCATAGAAATTTAATTATATATAATATTATAGCTTAATTATTTAGTCGTCAATAAAAGCCAACATTAAAGTCATTGACATTACTTTATCTAACTACTTAAATTATATTGTATATGGTATGAGAACATATTATTAATAATAGTTTGAATTATTTTTATTTATAAAACATTTTCATACTATGCTTAATTGATAATACTTGCAATGATCAATTTATTGTCCAAAAGAAAATACACAATTTGATGTAATCTTTTACCTTTCAGACAATATCAAAAGACTTACAAGAAAAGGCAAAAGCCGTATTCGATGAGGAAAAATCTCAAACTGCTCCAAAACCCCAAACATCAAGATCAGCAGCTCTACAAATAAAATCTCTTCCCGAAATGACAAACAAACCTCATATTTTTGCACATCTCCATGCATATTTTACATGGTTAATAAAAACTGGTGGAAGTTATTATGAAGAGGTACCACTTAGAATAATACCAGAACCAAAATCATTTGCAGACATCGAAGGAGAATTTACTATAGTGAATTTGAAACCACAAGACCAAAAGTTGAATGAAAATATAACACCTATCAAAATGGGTCTGCGTGATGTAAAAAATATACTCAGCACAAATGCTTTTAACAGTTTAATTTATTGTGTATTGACTGGTAGACAAATAATAATTCGGGGAACAAGTGAGACAGCTCTACCAATTTTAAACAGTCTGCGTGTACTGTTTCCTTCTGCTCACAGACCCCCAAAAGTTACTTTGAGTGACATTTATTTATCGCCAAAATTATCACCCTTGCTGGGTATAGGAATTCAAGTTGCAGCACCTCAACCATGTAATAGCATTTTTAGAATTGATGTAGTTGATAATAATTATTTGGTGAAATGGACAGGAGAATTGCCAGAAAAATGTAAATATGTTGTGAATAAATTTAAGGAACAGTTAAAGGAAATGTTTTTGGTTTATTTTAGATCCTGGTCTGCATATGAAAATAAATACTGCTGTGGAGAATCCACGGTTATCAGATAAAGCTTTGCTGAGGCAAATTATTGCTCTGGTAGAGGATTATCAAAAGTAAATAAATTGTGGAACTTAATAGCACTAAACTGTTACTTATTTTCATCAATTATAACCTCAATTTTTATAAACAGCATGTTTTATCAATAATTCTGATTGGCTAACAAAATTAAAATAGATTAGAGTACAAATTAATAAAGATTTCTAAAACTTTAGAGCAGTAAAGAGAGGTAAATGTTTAATTGTTTAAAAAATGAAGGATTTTAAACATTCATATACAGAATCAAATTCATACTGAAATTTAATGAGATTTAAGACTTCATATTCATGAACACTTAAAGTGAGTTATATATTATCACTTAAATATTAAATTTTTATTTCTTTTTCACAGCACAGCAATGGCAATAAAAGCAGGTTTACTCGTAAACTCAGCCGAAGAACTTAAACCACTGTACAATGTTTTAGGCATTCAAACAACAGACAAACCTGTAATTGACTTTTGGGTTGAGCGATATGTAATAGAAAAATAAAATCCCTTTGAATAATAAACGTTTGATTTATTAATTTCAAATACACTTTATACAATTGTATATAATTGTATTTACTTCTTGTAACCACAGCTCTTCCTGCGTCCACGAGCACGTTCAAATTTGCGTCCCTTTGATCTAACCAATGGTTTAGTGTGAGAATGAGGCACACCTGGAGCCAAGCCAAAGTGTTTGCAAGCCTCACGAGCAGTACGTCTTCCTTGCATAAGAACTGTGTTCTTACCAGTGGGGGCCCTCAAAGCCAATTGATCGAAGGTGATAACTTCACCGCCAGCTTTCAAGATACGTGCTCGTGCTTTCTCAGTAACATGGAGTGCACAAACTGTCAGTTTTGGGACTTCGAATATTCTATCGTCATTTGTAACAGTTCCGACAATTACAGCTAAACGGTTTTCACGTCCTGGCTTTTTCATTAAACGAACAACACGAGCCAAAGACATTGGGGGCCTGTGGATCCTGCTCATGAAAAGACGCTTGAGGATGATCTTATTGAATTTGGAATTCGTACGTCTTGCCAAGAATCTGTATAGCTAAAATATAAAGTAACATTAACACCTAGTATAACAATATTTTATCATGTGTCCATTATTTTACTAACCTTAACCAACAAACGTAAGTATACATCTTGGGACTTGGGCTCTGTACGACGGACCTTGCGGTCGTATTTATGGTTAATGTCGATACCCTGAAAAGAAAACAAAAACACGATCAGCACTTTAATTCTTCGCTAATTCATATTCATGTATTGTAATTGTATATAACCATTATTTTAACGTGATGATTTTAGATATAATCACAAAACACAATCGCTTTTGCATACTTACCATCGCGAAAACCGGATGAAGAAGAGTTTGACAAAAAACGCGATCGTGTTAACTGTGTGAATGAATGACACTTCATGTAGCAGGAGGGCCAATGTGGTTTGAAATACAGATGGCGGCAAATTTGAAGGTATGAAAAATATTTATTTATTCAACCATCAATATAATATAATAATAACTAACAATAATATAATAAAAATATCTAACAACTTAAAATATAGTTCATATACAGCAAGTAATATTATGTATATTAACCATATGCTTATTTATCTATGATATCATCATTCATTACTGAAATGATATGTATTATTTATTATCATTAACTTCCGAAGGAGAGTTCATGTCAATTATTATATTGTCTAGGGTTTATGTTTTCGACGTTCCAAGCCATTCTGAATCAAATGAGACCAAATTTGGAAAAAGTATGTGTGTGTGTGTGAACAGTTTTTTGCCGTAAATCGACGTTTTCTCAAAAACGGCTGGACCGATTTCAAAAATTTAAAAGCCATTCGATGTATCTCAATGAAGACTAACGTTTATCAATTTTGCGCGGCGATCAGCCAAGCCGTTTCTTTGTAATTTGGAAAATAAAGTGTTAAACTTTTCATCCACATTTAAGCTCGTACTACCGAATCGATTTAAAAAATCAAAATCTGTTCGAAAGATATTAGTTGGGAATGAGATTGATTAATTTTAGATGAAAATCTACCGAGCCGTTTTCTTGTAATTAACTGTTGAAATAAAAATTTAATCCGAATTTTATGGAACTTTTTTGGCGATCATGGTCTTATAGAACTTACTGAAATACTACGGCCTTGCGGCAAGTAGTTCAATTTTAAAAATTCATCAAAGTTTGAGAAAATGAGTAGTTTCTTTGATCTAAGGTGATAACTTCACCATATTAACATTTCTAATTATTTAATATATTGCCAATATTAATAAAACAACTTAATTTGAATTGATGTGCAAGTTGCAACTTCAAACTGGTTTTCACGAAGAGAAATCTGTCTGGCAACACTATCGTACACATTTAAGCTGCCATATCATTCGTTTGAGTTCTTGTTTATGTTTTAAATAAATAATTGTGGTAACGGATGTGTGAAAAAGTCAATATTTTGTGTATACGCAAGTTATTTTTAAAATTGGATTTATTTTTTTTCTTGTATATCAGTGTTTAAGACAAGGACAAATGTCGAAATAAACAGGTACACGTGCACTTAATGACATTTGTCTAATATCTCTTTTTTTATTAAGACTCACTAATAATGGATTCAAAATACCAAGAAATAGGTAATTCTAGTAAATATGATATTTTCGCCAACTTTCGGTCTAAACATAGTTCAACGTCTAATATTAAAATAAATGGTGTACATAACCAAACAAATTCAAGTGGTTCTAAAAAAGCAAAATTAAATCATGCAAATTCCAATAATTGCAATGGATTTACGCCTTCGGAACGGCAGCAGACTGTGTGGCCTGCTAAAATGAATAAAGGCCTCCAGGAAGCGCGTAAACTGTTGCCAGTTTATAATGTTAGAAACAAATTAGTCGAACACATTGCTAAGAACCGGACTACAATCGTGTTAGGTGAAACAGGATCAGGTAAAACAACTCAAATACCTCAGTATTTATGGGAAATGGGCATATCAAATGGAGGTGCAATTGCAATAACACAACCCAGACGAGTTGCAGCCATCACTATTGCTCAACGAGTGGCCCAGGAACAAAATTGCCCTCTTGGAGACCTGGTTGGATATAGTGTAAGATTTGAAGATGTGTCTTCTAAAAAAACTCGAATAAAATACATGACTGATGGTATATTATTGAGGGAGGCTTTACTTGACAAATTGCTTATGAAATATAGTATATTAATCCTTGATGAGGCTCATGAACGCTCTATTAACACTGACTTGCTGTTTGGAATTGCTAAGAAGGCTCAAGAAATTAGATCGAAACCTCCTTTACAACCTTTGACACTGATTATCATGTCTGCCACTGTGAATGTTCAAAGCATTGAAGACTATTTTGGACAAGATTGTATTCCAATTATTCTTACTGGTCGATCATACAAAGTAAATACAATGCATGTAAAAAGCTCTCAAGATGATTATGTTTTTACATGTTTAGTAACTTTATTCGACGTGCACAAGAAGGCACCTGCAGGGCATGATGTTTTAATATTTTTAACAGGACAAGAGGAAATTGAGGCAATGGTGCAGTACATAAGACAAATTGCTAAAGATAACAATTTCAATGGTCGTCCTACTTTGCGTGTGTATCCATTTTATTCAAATTTACCTCAGATGAAGCAATTGGAATTATTTAGACCAACAGCTCCTAATTCACGAAAAGTCATTGTTAGTACTAATGTTGCAGAGACTTCTTTGACGATTAATGGTATTAAATATGTTATAGATAGTGGTAAAGTGAAGACAAGGGCACATGATTCAATGACGGGTCTTGAAAAGATGAAAGTAACGACTATATCAAAAGCACAAGCTTGGCAACGTGCAGGTCGGGCTGGTCGTGAATCAGAAGGTACTTGTTATCGAGCATATACTTCAAAGCAGTTTGAAGAAATGCCTGAAGACCCAATTCCTGAAATTCTTAGAGCTAACATAACTACCACTTTGTTACAATTACTAGCTATGAAGATTGATATTGATAGTTTTGATTTTATAGACAGACCGAGCAATGAAAGCATTGCTTATGGATTGAAACAGTTATATATGTTAGGTGCTATTAAAGATGTCAATTGTCCAGTACTTACAGAACTAGGTAGACAAATGTCTCAGTTTCCTCTAGATGCTAGATTTAGTAAGCTTTTATTAAGTGCTCCAGAATTTGGTTGTGTGGATGAAATTCTAAGTCTTGTAGCTGTAATGTCTTCTGAATCCGTCTACAATTTACCTCAAGAAAATCGGGATAAACATTTAGAAAACCACAGGAAATTTGAATCTCCACACGGTGATCATTTATCACTTCTGAATGTATATAGGGAGTTCCAAAATAAAGGATTCCGAAAACTTTGGTGTTTTGAAAATAGTTTAATCGCTCGCAACTTGCTTTATGCCAAAGAAATTCGAGCACAACTCAGTGATATTTGTGACAAATGCAACATACCAATGTCCAGTTGCGGCACAGACACTGACCAGGTAAGAAAGTGTCTTTTAACCGGCCTGTTTGGCAACACAGCAGAAAGACAGAGGGACAAGAAATACATAACTCTATTGAGCAGACAAACGGCATATTTACATCCTTCCAGCAACCAATTGTCTCAACAACCACAATTTGTTATATATTCAGAAATTGTACAAACCAGCAAAACTTATTTGAGACAAATTACACCAATTGAACCCGAATGGTTAACGGAAGTTGTGCCGAATTGGAGAAGTTATAAAAGTCACTAATATACTATTACTTGAGACAGTAGAGTGATGTAGCAAATGTGATATGAAATAGTGAGATAAATGTGATTTAGAATGCATTTTTCAACACTAAATTTTGTGATAACTGTTAAGTGACTCTCTACAATTTGAGTAGTGACTGATATTTAATTAGTATAAAATGAATTGCAATGTCGAATATAATTAGAAGCTGTTAGCTTAATAGAACAGACTTATTTACTGAACCATTTTGTGCAGTTGAGAGAATAAGATTCTCAATCGTTATAAGATTTTTGTGTATGTTGCATTTTTTCTTTGTGTTTAAGTAATACTTGAAGATATTTTTGCTTGTGCTTCATTATACTCACAAGGATATGTTACTTAATCTAAATTTTATAGATTTTTTAAAAAAATATTTAAAATGTTAAACCGAAGGATTTAACAGATGAAAGGACAATATTATATATATATATATATATATATATATATATATATATATATATATATATATATATATAAATATATTTATAGACAAGTCCTGGATTTTTTCAATAAATTGATATATGTTTCTTTTCCGAACAATAAATCCAATAAATAAAAAACAATTTGTTTTTTGTAGATGTTTAATTATGACGTTTCAAAAAGATTTTTTATATAGACTAACTCTATTAATGACGAAGAATACAGAATATTAAGTAAAAGTTTTTTAGTATAATTAATGGATTATGTACCAGATAAATGTAAAGAAAGGTATATAAAAATAAAAAAAAAAATTAATTATAGAAAATAAAAAATAAAATTGAGTAGCAAAATTTTTTATTTTCTATAATTATAATTTTTTTTTCATTCTTTATTTTTAATATACCTTTGTTTACTTTTATCTGGTACATCATCCATTCCTTTACATCAAAGAACTTTTTTACTTAATATTCTGTATTCTTCGTCATTAATAGAGTTAGTCTATATAAAAATATTTTGACAAAAGAAATCTGATGATGGAACTTATCTAGTTCTGAAACGTCATAATTAAACATCTACAAAAAACAAAATCGTTTTTTATTTATTGGATTTATTGTTCAGAAAAGAAACATGTATATATATATATATATATATATATATAATATCTAAAATACAAACCAATGATGTAAATATTCTTGCTCCTTTTATGGTTGCTACATGTAAATAAAATGAATATGTATATGTAAATAATTTTATGTGAAATTGTAATAAGTCACTTTACAATTTCACTTTGAATTGATATTTTTGTATCTGATAATATAATGTGAAAGATCTAGTTATTTATATTTTCTTATTAACAATAAGAAGAAATATTAATCATTTAAATTTTTATCTATAATTATGTATTGTTAACTTATTTGTTCATTGTTTAAGTTTATGAATTGCCCACCAATATATTTTGTTACTATCAAAAGTATAACATTTAATATTTTTGAATTCCTCATATTTATAATGAAATTGCTGTACTTCTTTGCCATAATTCAGATAATTTATGCTACCTGTGTGTTCATATTGATGAAAATATATATTTATACAGTATAAAAACTAAGTATTTGTTTATAATTGTTACTAGTTTTATATAATTTTCATTTTAATTATTTCCTATATGTATATTTGATAAATATATGTTTATATTTATTAAAACACTTTACTTTTTTAATGCATTTAAATTTAGCAGCAATTTAAAAATGGCCGATGACAGTTGTTGAAAAATGGCGCTGCTGACAGTTTTGACGTTTGACATTTCCGACTTCCAAAGTGAAAATCAAAATTATTCGTAAAAGAAAATATTAAATACGAATTGTTAAATTGATAATATAAACAAAATGCAAGAATACGAAGATGATTACTATTTAGAGGAGGATAAAATGTAAGTGATTTATGATTCTAACTATATTATACTTTGTATTTGTCAAAATAAATAAAAGCATATCCTTTTCCTAATCAATCCTATACCAATATTTTATTTTACATACTTTATTTGATTTATATATTTTGTTTATTCATTTATATATTAACTATAATTTACTATACAATTTGCTGTATTTTGTTTTTGTTAATGTTACAGATCTGTGAATTCAAAATTTGTTTTATTTTTGTTTCAATATGTGTCACTTTTTAATGAATATATTTTCAAATTAATTATATCATGATTTTTATATATAATTTAATAACCTTTTCATGCATTTATTTAATTTTATAAATAACTTTTTTATACTTTGGTTTTGAAAATGTCACAGTTTTGATTCTTTTCAATTATTGTTAGTTTCAATTTATTTTATATGATTTTTTTTCTGTTATTTTAGTTTTCAGTTAATATCCAAAGATGCATTACCAATACCCTTACTTTCGTCATGTTTGTGATTGTGAATTGGAGTGGAATGTTTCCAGATTGGAAAACGCATATCAAGATTTGTAATTAATTATCTTCTATTTCCAGGTTTTATATGATTTACTATATAAATTTATTACATATATTAAATTTAATTTGTATTATATATAGTATTATTATAAAAAGCCAAAATATAGATTTATTTTACATTATATTAGACATGATAATTTTGTACAATAAAATCACATAAAAAGCTTTACAATAAATTGTTATTTATATTACGAATTAAACAATTATTTAAATAATTTTTAAGCAGTCCGGGCAGCAATTCTTTGTTACCAGAAATATTTGCACCATCAAATGATCATTTGGCAGTTGAAGATTTGATGTGAGGAATACCGAATTCTGTTTTAAATTCATTTAATCTTAAGAAAAGTATTTTGGAAATATAGAGAGAAATAATAGATTACTTGTAACATGTAAATGTGTAAACTGACAAGACCGTGCATTTAATTTTTTTTTGCCCTGCTTAGAAGTATCCCAGGACAATATTTTCTGTAGATGCGTGTAACATAATTATATACATTTATAGTGTAGAGACAATAGGTCTGTCCCTACAACAGAGTAATAAATAACACAATAAAATATAAAAACAAGTGATTAGTTTATTAAAGTATTGCATGTTAACATACAATTTTAAATATAAATTTGTGAATGTTGTGCATTTTGTATATACATTTTAGCAATTTTATTAGTAAGCATTTTGCGATGCATGTTACTAAAATAAATTCAAAATGCAATCGTATGTTATTGATACAGGGGAATGACGGTTACATCTGGCAGTGTGACTATTAAGAAGGATGCCAGTAATTTAATTGGCATCAGCATTGGAGGAGGAGCTCCTTATTGCCCGTGTCTTTATATAGTACAAGTAAGAATAAGTAATTATTTATAATAAAAGTTTTTGTTTTATTTTCTTTCATTTAGAATGTTTATATATTACTATGTATATTTTGATATAATTTCTTATATAGGTCTTCGATAATACACCAGCTGCTAAAGAAGGCACCTTACAAAGTGGTGACGAATTGGTTGCCATAAATGGAACTACAGTAAAGGGTCGTACTAAGGTTGAAGTGGCAAAAATGATACAAGGAACACAGGTGATAATATTATTATCACTAATAAAAATATGGATTTTTGAATATTGTTTTTTACTTTGTTTTAGGAGGAAGTTAATATAAATTACAATAAGTTTCATGCCGATCCCAAGCAAGGAAAGACATTAGATATTGTATTGAAAAAGGTATATTTTATCTAACATTCTTTAACTGTAATTTACACAATTACTTAGTCATGAGAAGACAATGGGTGTAAAAATACTACAATATGTTTGTAAAAATACTACAATGGGTGTAAAATTACTACAATGTTTGTAAATAATACTACAATGGGTGTAAAATTACTACAATGTTTGTAAAAATACTACAATGGGTGTGAAATTACTACAATGTTTGTAAACAATACTACAACGGGTGTAAAATTACTACAATGTTTGTAAAAATACTACAATGGGTGTAAAATTACTACAATGTTTGTAAAAATACTACAATGGGTGTAAAATTACTACAATGTTTGTAAACAATACTACAATGGGTGTAAAATTACTACAATGTTTGTAAAAATACTACAATGGGTGTAAAATTACTACAATGTTTGTAAACAATACTACAATGGGTGTAAATTACTACAATGTTTGTAAAAATACTACAATGGGTGTAAAATTACTACAATGTTTGTAAACAATACTACAATGGGTGTAAATTACTACAATGTTTGTAAAAATACTACAATGGGCGTAAAATTACTACAATGTTTGTAAAAATACTACAATGGGTGTAAAATTACTACAATGTTTGTAAACAATACTACAATGGGTGTAAAATTACTACAATGTTTGTAAAAATACTACAATGGGTGTAAAATTACTACAATGTTTGTAAAAATACTACAATGGGTGGGTGTAAATTTACTACAATGTTTGTAAAAATACTACAATGGGTGTAAAATTACTACAATGTTTGTAAAAATACTACAATGGGTGTAAAATTACTACAATGTTTGTAAACATACTACAATGGGTGTAAAATAAATACATGTTTGTAGAAATACTACAATGGGTGTAAATTA